AAAAAATAAATAATTAAATATTAAAATAATTTTCAATTATAATTATAACATAATATAATTCTATACAACTATAATTGCAATTACACTTACAGTAGTTCAGTAAGTCCAAACGCAGCCTACGGCACCATATAATTATAATGTAGGTGAACTGTACACTTTTTATATAAAAAAAAAAATAAATTCCACAGGAACATTTTATTTTAAAATGCAGAGAATGCGAGACCACGACACCAGACGCGACAAGAAACAGAAGTTGGTTGATAGAAAAACGAAAGAAAAATTTGAAAAGAAAGGGACTTGGAGGGGGGAGGGATGGAGGGACGGAAGCAGTGAGTGCAGCGCAGGTGAAAACTGGAGAGGCGGCTGTGAGGGAAATGAATTGAGAGAGAGAGAGAGAGAGAGAGAGAGAGACGCTTGCAGTTCTGGTTAGGAAATTTATTTCTACAAAAACCCATTTATTACGCGTTTCCAGAACACGACAAATTCTCGACCCAATACTATTACTTCATCTTCCCAGAACCAACAAATTCATAAATTAAAAAAAAAAAAAATTTTCAAGGCAGAAGGTGGTGGTGATGGTAGTGGGTTGGAGAAAAATTATGACTTCCAGTTCTGGGAGATGTAGCTTCTTTCCCAAATGCTTCTGAGGAAAACCCAGATAAAAAGCAGCAAGCTTTGAGAGCAAGAGACGGTTTTTGTGAGTGGGTGTGTGTGGAGAATGAAGGGAACATGCACAAATCCAAGCTGAGGAGACTACCCATTTGTTATTTCTCTTCTCTTTACCAAATCCCGAAGGTTTCTCACTCTTATCTTTTTTTTCTTCTTCCTGAGTTTTCATCCTTTTCATTTTTTTTATGATTCTTTAGTCTGGTACTGGTGTACTGTATGCATGTTGTGGAAATACTTTGCATGTGAATATTTTTGGGATTTGGCTTCCTGGAATTTGATTTCGGGTGTTTAGAATGTGATATGTCTTTGAGAAAGATGGATTTGAAGGTTGAGAAAATGGGTTTGATTTTTTATTAGTGACTGTATTTTTAGTTCACTCTCTTCTCCCTTTCGGGTGGGTGGCAGGGGTGATTTCACTTCTGGGTTTTACCGAGATGAAATGACAATTTGAACTTATAATTCGCTTATGTAAAATTCTCAACTTGTTGTAGGAGTGAATCTATGTTCTCTTTGACTTCCTTTTTCTTTTCTCTTCTCTAATCCTTTCCTTTTGGAGAATGGTTCATAGTTTCAGATATTAAAGCTTCTCATATTGAATTAATTTAGTTTCTATATATTTACCAAAAAAAAAAGAAGAAAGTTTCTATATAAGATAGTCTTTTCAATTTCTATGTCTTTCCAGTTTGGGGTTTGAATGGTACATGACACTTGCTACTTTGCTAACTTATCTTTGTTTCAATTAGTTTTGTACTTTGAATGATGAAAGTGGATTAGTTTCTCTTTATTTATTTATTTTTTTGGGCTCTTGCCACGTTCATTCTGATAAATGCTCTCTTTATCATCAAATAATGGTACCTACCTTCTCGTCCCTGTTCATGTGGGACAGAAATAATTTAGGGCGACTGAGAAATACTGATGTTTATTGAATCTTCACATTTTTGCCAGTTGCATGTATACCTCATTTGTGAAAGTTTGTCCTATTATCTAAAGTGTGGTTGGTTTTGTTGAAGAATACAAGCTTGTAGGAAATTGATTCTATCCATTTATTAAAGTTGATTCTCTTTGTTTTTTATTTATGCAATATTATTTCTGCGTAGATGCATTATGATCTGAGCAGAAATGCAGTTAGGATAGTGTCTCTTAGTGAGTAAGATATTTGGATTGATGGTACATGTGAGTAAAAACTTGGGATGATGGTTTATTGTAATATGGGGGAGCATTCTTGGGCCTTTGGGGGCATCTAGTTCTATAAATATTTATGAAATTCCCTTTTTAGAGGATAGGATTCCATTCTGTATCTAGGCAACTGTAGGGTTATGTTCTACTTTGCTACTATTCTGGGGGATAATTGGAAGAGGGTGGAGGCAGAGAAGAGGATGAACAGTGTAATTTTATTGGGGAAAAACATTTTTAAATTTCCTTTTATCATGTTTCCTCTGTACCAGATAGGGTTATTTCATTCAGTGTAAATACTTGGTGAAAGAAGTTGCTGCATTTATTCTATCCTGTTGTTTCTAATGAAACTTTTAACTTCATGCAGTGTATAGACTGACACTGTGCTGTTGATGAAGAACAACTTCACATAGAAGAAAAGATTGCCATCTTTACAATTTTGAAAATCTATTTCCTTTATCATAATTCAGGACACTTTTAGCTGTTGTCTACAAGAATGCACAACTTTGATAAGAAAGACTCAGGGTTAAGTTCTGCTGCCCAATCAACAATTACAAACGTTGTTAGCTGCTCATCGTGGGGGAACTCATCTGAATCTCATGTCCAACAATTATCTGCATCTGGAAGTTTAAGCTTGAAGATGGGAGCTCTGCACCAACATTTTCATAACATCAGAAGGTTAAGTTTTCAATTTCAAGACCAGGACTCAATATCAACTCAATCAACTGGTCAATCTTACCCAAATGTGGCTAGCGTTGCAGATGGCAATCCTCATGGGCAAAATATCGTTTCAGCACTATCAGGTCAGCTAATAATTTCAAGTATTCCTTATTTTATGTGCCTTTTGGTGTGTGGTCTAGGATGCAAGTCAATTCTGGCCAGTTGTATTTTCCTTTTGAAATATATTTTATGTGCCTTTGTTTATAGTTTTGGATTTTCCTGGAAATATTTGAGTTCTTGTGTTCTGTGGATTGGTGTCATGAGGGGAAAGAGGAAAAGGTTTATGGTTTCAGCTAATTTACTGCCCCATCCATGATAGGATTTCCCTTAACAAAATGTTATTTCTTGTTAACTAACATCCTCATTCTACCTGTTCAAATATTTTATCTGATCAGCTGTTTATATGCATTCTCAGGATATGATGAAGCTCATGGGAAGAGTGTTGTCGCTCAAACTAAATTAGCGTCATCGATTTTAACTCGGGACTCTGTCTTTCCTCCTCAGCAAGCTGATTGTAGCCAACCACTTGTAAGTTATTATTGTTGACTGTGGTTGCTTAGGGGAGAGGACACCAATCTTATATGTCTAATTCATATTCTTGTTATTTCTGCAGGCTCATATTCCTTTGCCCTATGCTGAACCATATTTTGGTGGTATGGTTACTGCTAGTTATGGATCACAAGCAATGGTAAATAATATATGCACTCTATCCCTTTATTTTTTTTTTTCAGGATATTGTAGTTCAGAATCAAGGCAGTGAAAGAAAAATGAAAAGTGTCTGTCTAATCTTGTGATATCAAATTATGGAAAAGGAGGATGTTTGCCTTCTAATCTAGTTCTGTTTTTCCAAACTCCAGTTAATTAAACTGAAAGACTCAGTTATGTACTATTTTCAAATTATGCCACCATAGTGCTAATCTAGAATCTATATTTAGGATCTAATCTCTTTTTTGCTATAGATGTAACTAGGATGGTGTCAAAATGGAATTTGAGCACATTTTCTGCAGACAAAGTATCGTGCTTCATGGCTGTGGTGATTTGGTTAGAACTGCACTAGACATTGGTTTTTCAAAATGTATAGAGGCTCTAGACCACTCTTTTTATTTTTTCAAGTGTCATCTTCCTAGGCCTGATGCATCCTTAGTTCTTTAATAAGAGTGTCCAACAAAATGTTATGCATTCCCCATGGATTCTTCAATTTCCTAATGCTGGTGTGTCAAGTATTATGCCAAGTTATTATTTATTTTCTGGATGACTTTGCATCTTTCTTTGTCCATATTCTCTTCTGCTTTTCTTATGTTAATGGTTCCTTATTGTAGACTGTATAGGGATATTTCTTCCTTTTTTATTTTTTAACCTGAGGTTGTTTTTAATATGGACCACCATTGCTGTCTGAAGTATAAAAGATGCAAATGGCTAAGAGGTGTTATTCTTGTCAACTATCTAAAACTAGAGTGGTCCTGAAGATCTTATTTGTCTCTATTTATGGTTTTTCTGATTTCAACCCTGTAAATTCTACTGTTTTGGAAGTGGTTTTTGATTTGGATTCTGATTTCACCTTACTAGATCAATCTATGCCCTGAAAATTGAATTAAAGCACATGGCTTCCAGTTTTTGATCCCACTAAAATGTGTCTTCTCTGTTACCCATTAATGAAGTATTTAACATTTAAATGCCAGCAGATTCATCATCCTCATATGATGGCAATGTTTCCTGGTCGAGTCCCACTACCTCTAGATCTTCCAGAGGAGGAACCCATTTATGTTAATGCGAAGCAGTATCAAGCTATTCTCAGGCGGCGACGGTATCGTGCCAAACTTGAGGCTCAAAACAAACTGGTCAAAAACCGAAAGGTACATGCGGTCCTGGTTTTACCTTTTCTGCACCTGAAATGCACCATGGCATGTTGTGGATGCATGATTATGGGGATAAATGGATTGATAATGTAATAATTTTTTTTTTTTTTGTAGCCATATCTGCATGAGTCTCGCCATCGTCATGCTTTAAAGAGGGCTAGAGGAGCTGGTGGAAGATTTCTCAACACAAAAAAGTTTAAAGAATCCAATCCAATTAGCCATGAACTGGATGTTTCCGGCTCTGCACGGTTACGTCTGACTGGGAGCACAACAGAATCACTTCATCAACCAGGAAACTACAAAGATGCTGCTTCAACTGCCTCTTGCTCTGATGTCACCTGTTCTTCAAACAACAATGCCATCTTCCACCAGAACCAGAATTTCAGGTTCCCTGGCTACCCTTCTCATATTGGCGTTACCACAGGCGATATGCATGCTGGTGGGAACCTGCACCATCCTTCCAGTCTCCTGCTGCCAATCAACAGGGACTGCTAAGATTTACTCTGTCCAAGCAGCAGTCTTTATTTGGTGCTCTAATAGGAAAATACAGTTGCTATGATCCTTCGGGAAGTCATCCTTGGCTGTGTTAGTTTGCCATTAGTTTCAGTTTGCTTGTGTCCCAAATGATCAAATATGGAATTCTACTTGCTGTGTCTTTAACTATTTTCTCTCTTCATTCGAGGTGACATACATAAACACTGAAATACCATGTTTGTGGGACAGATAAACAATTATTCAGCTTTATTCCAAATTTCTATGATTCGGCTAAATTTTCTCTTAACGTTAAACTGTTCCCTCCTCACATGTAATATATTTATAATGTTAAGTGATGGTATAGATCATTAATTTTTTTTCGTACTAACCTTTTAGTATTCAGAAATTTTATTAAGTTTTGACTAATTTAAAGTCGAGTTGGATCGAATCATATACGAGAAATTCTTCAAATGACTGTTTTTTTTATTCATAAAATTTAAATTTAAAATTTTATTTAAAAGAGATGGATTACCTTTCACTCATATGAGTAAATTATTGGTAGTCGGACCAATTGATTGGGTAGAATAGATCACTAATAAACTTAAACTGAAATCCTGTTCTTGGGAACCGACCGCACTGAATCTCGGCTTTTCAACCTTCTCCGTTTTTTTATCATTTTATATGTTTTTTTCAAAATTTTGGATTTTCCGGATTCTAGGCCCTTTTCTGAAATATAGTTTACCCGACCAACAAACCCAGATTCAAATCCGCCCCGACTTAAAAACCTACCCCTAACAAACCCAACAATCCCTTCCTTGTCCTCTCCCCCCCTACGCAGCCAAAAAATGCTCCACCCATCTCCATATTTTTGTACATAATAAAATAAAGAATCTCGCTTTGACTTTGTGTTATTAGTAGCAATATTTAACAGCTACAACGGAATTGCAGTTACGGGGGGAAGAGAGATGGAGGGAGTAGGAGGAGGAGGAGGAGGAGCACAGTTCAATCCGCGCACAGTCGAGGAGGTCTTTAGGGATTTCCAGGGCCGCCGGGCCGGAATGATCAAGGCGTTAACAACAGGTTTCTGTTTGTTTCCTCAGAAAATGTGGGATAAGTCGACGATATATATATTTATTTATTCTTTTTTTTTTTTTATAAGAATTTGAAAGCTTTTTAGCGGTTTCCTATTCGTTTGTTCCAAAGAGAGTGCTGTTTAAAGCTCATGTCGACGAGATGAAACTGGAAGTTTGAGTTTACTCCTTTCTGATGTTGTGTTTTTGTTTTTCAAAAATGTGTTTTGCTTCTTTCTCTCTTTGAATTCTTCATTTTGATTTTATCGTTCTCCGGGAAAATGATTATTTTTTGCTCGTTTGGCCATCGCTCGTCTGGATTTTACTTTTTTCTTTGATTGATTTTTTTTTTTTTGTTGGCTAAAATCTTTGATTTTATCTGGATTATCTGTGATTTACTCTCTTTTTTTTTTTCTTTGAGAGAGAGAGTGTGTGTGTGTGTGAGATTCAGGATTTGGTGTTTAATACGGTAATTTAGAAAGTTTATAAGAAAAATTAATTTGAAATAATTTTATCAGCAATTTACTTAGAAATTGGTGTTTTTGCACTCAAAATTTTTACTCTTTAAGTCGAAACTAACTATAGTGTGTTTACGAAGAACACGCATGAGAAAATTGAAAATTGAAACTTAAATTTTTTAGTGTTTTGTTTCTGTTTTTGTTGAAATGAAAATTCGCAAAATTATTGATGTTTTGAGTTTATTTTATTTTATTCTATTTTTTTGGAAGGGAGAATGACATGGTTTAGTTTTGTATATCATATGCATCATGTTCCAGGAAATGTAAATGTCCATGACAAATAGCTTCAGATAATTGCATGTGGGAGAGAATTATTTGAATGTTTGCTGCTTGGAATAAGGTTTTTGAGATTATTTAAGTAATGTGTTTTTTTTTTTTTTTCAGAGGTTGAAGAATTTTATCAGCAGTGTGATCCTGGTAAGGCTTTCTTCTCCCCCTTTTATCAGCGTGATTGATTCTTTGCCATTTCTTGGCCATTTCAAAGCATGACACACATGCACACATACAAGGGAGTCATATCATATGCCATCTTGTTTTGTGTCTGTAATTGGGTTACAGATCTGATCTGTTGGCCATTTTCCTTGTTATGTTTTTCATTTGAAAAATCAAATGTTTGGGGCCCCTCTAACTCACCCCTAGAGCTTAGTAAGGACCATGCTAGGGGCCAGGGAGACAAGTGGATTATTAACCTTTTCTTCTTGTTGTTTCTTTGGAATATGGAGAGTGATATGATGTACATGAACTTGTGAGGTTGTTACCTAATGGTCAATAATAAGGTGTTTCTTATTAATGCTCTTGACCATCAGGGGTTGATGTAATTCATAAAGTCCATGTATGGTTTTGATTGGTTGTTCAGGCAGTAACTTGCTTGATGATATGTGATACAATTATAATAAACAAGGGCATTTTCTTTGCTAGAGGAACCTATTAATCTTAATCCTTTGTAAGAGCAATATGGTTTTATATTTACTCTTTGTTGATCGTATTAGTTAATCACTTCCTTTACGTTTTCTTTATATTCTCATTGCCATTGTTTCTAAGATTGTTATATACATGGCTAGCCTTCACAACGTAATACTTTTATTTGCAGAGAAGGAGAATTTATGTTTGTATGGCTCTCCAAATGAGCAATGGGAAGTCAATTTACCAGCTGAAGAAGTTCCTCCAGAACTTCCAGAGCCTGCATTGGGTATTAACTTTGCAAGGGATGGCATGCAAGAAAAGGACTGGTTATCTTTAGTTGCTGTCCATAGTGATGCGTGGTTGCTTGCTGTTGCCTTCTATTTTGGTGCTAGATTTGGATTTGATAAAGCTGATAGGTATGTCAGTTAAAATGAAGTTTAGTTTTCCAGTAGTGTATTGGCATTTCTTTGCACCACCACCTTCACAGTTGCAATCAGAAAGCTGGCGTTGGCTCATGATTTGTTAACCTTTTTTTCCTTTTTTTGGTTCGTGTTCTGATTGTTTATGTACTCTTTGTGGTAGGGAAAATGGTGCATGTTTGCAATGTTATTATAGTTGAATTCTTGCCCTTGTCACAGTTTTAATCTTGTCAGCAAAGTAGTGATAGTAGAGTGACTTTATAGTTGGGCGAGTTCTGGTCAGCTTTAAGTTTAACTTTAGTTTCTGGTGTTGCTGTTGTTTGTTGAAGTTTGTAAAACTAAAGGTTGTTTTTATGCATGGTCATGCAATCCAACTGATTCCCCTAGTTACTCTTAATGTGCATTTCCCTCTGGTTGTTGGGATGGTCTATTGTTTTATAGATTTTCCATATCTTTTGAGCATGCTTACAATTTAGATTTATTGAATACATATATGTTCATGCATGTGCAGGAACACCTGTATTTATGAGAAATTAAGGAAATGTTTCCCTTGACTCATTTTGATTTTTTTTTTTTTTTCAATTGTGCAAAGTTCAAGCATATCATCCATGATTATAGGCTTTTGAAAACTGTAGTATTAAGCATGCAATGCATGCTAAGTTAAAGCCTAAGGCCTTGTGGCTTAATTAACTTTCCTTCAGATGCTGTAAACTTGGTTTCCTTGGCCAATGTGGCAGTTTGTTAAGTTCTCAGTTTGAACTCAGATGAATGTGATTTTGGGTGTGGGAATTGGAGCAGGAAAGGCCTAACTGTCAAAAGTCCTTCGTGATATATCAAAGCTTAAGAGATGAATTTTTTTCCATTTCATCTAGAAACAGCATTTTATTAATATATTATTTGGTTACCTTGTGCATTATGACTTAGGGTGAACATGTGATGTTATTGCAATGTCTTATATGTGGTGCAGGAAACGTCTTTTTAATATGATAAATGATCTTCCAACAATATTTGAAGTCGTGACTGGTGCACCAAAGAAACAAGGAAAGGAGAAGTCATCTGTCTCAAATCATAGTAGCAACAAATCAAAGTCAAATTCTAGAGTGGTAAGTTGACTTCTGCACTTATATTTTGTTTTGTCATGGTCTCAAAGGATCAGAATGAATACACTGGTTGCAGCTGCTCTGTTGGCACAACTTTATTACCTTAGATTTTCCTTTTTTGGCCCAAAGGAACAAATCTTGTTACTTGGTTTGTCAAAGATCCTTTTGGTAATTCTCAGTGGCAGTTCATATTTGTATTTTACAATTAATATCATAAAATAAAATTTCTGATTAGGTTTTTTTATTGCAGTTCCTGTTTTAGTTTACTTTTAAATCAGGCTACTACTTGATTATTTAAAAATTTTTTTTTCTTTGGGTTTTTCTCTGATCAGCGGGAATCACAGGTAAAGTATTCAAAAGCATCACAGCCGAAGGATGAAGATGAAGACTTTGATGAGGAAGATGATGAGCATGGAGATACTTTGTGCGGGGCTTGTGGTGAGAACTATGCATCGGATGAATTCTGGATTTGCTGCGACCTCTGTGAGAAATGGTTCCATGGGAAGTGTGTGAAGATTACCCCAGCTAGAGCAGAGCATATTAAGCAGTACAAGTGCCCAACATGCAGCAATAAGAGAGCTCGTGTTTGATGTTCACCAACATGTGATGCATGGTGCTCTGTTTGTAACTCTTCTCTTGGTAAACTCTACTAACTGCCCTGTCCATCAGTTGTGTTTCCAGATTCTGACTAGGTAGTGCAGCATGTGAATGAATGGTTACTTTGGTGTAGGAGGTCTCAGTTTTCAGTGTAAAAAACTATTTATTTGTAGTTTGGTTTTTAGATAATCCCCGCGTAGAACACTTAATCATCCTTCAATCCAGTAGGTAAGAAAATGTGTGATAGTAACTTTTTATGGTTGATTAAATGCAATTGCTTTAAGTCAATGATGGAATTCTACGTCCTACCTACTTAGAAAGTGAAAGGATGTGTGAAACAGGGCTTGTGATATGTGACTCACCACCTACAACTCTTGTGCCCATATCCAATTTCTCTCCTAATGTCACACTTCCTCACCACCTGTGAAATGCACAGCTGCTTTAAATCCTTGATGAGCCTGATCTTAAACCTGAATTAAGGTTTTTGCGTTAGTGAAAGTAATCTCTCAACTAAGCTCCTTTTGGTTATCCCAACTTAGAGGGAACCAGTTTTTTATTTAATTAATGAATTAAGGATATAATTGTCATGAGCAGTGACAAATGAGTATTTAACTATGCATGGTATATAACTATGCTTGATGATCAAATGTAAGTGCACCCAAAAAAAACAAAAAAAAAAAAAAAAAATTCCCCTTTTTAATGAATCATATATTATTGCGGACTTTGATACAACTAGCATTGGCCTATAAAACGCGGCCGCATTCCAAATTACAGTCAAAAGTTTCAAGAATTACAAAGAATTATGGATTATACGACTACACAATTGCACCCACAGCTCTAGCTGCATTGGATAACATAGAGGTATACTAAGGTTAAGACCTTAGTTTTAGTTTTTGTAAAACCAATCCCTCTTCTCCCAAATTCCCCATGTTCCAAAAATAGGACTACACAATTTGGTCGAACTGACCCTTGTATAAACATCAAACGTATAAACTGAAATATTTAGGAGGAAAAGGAAAAATGAATTGACACCCCCACATAAATGCATGCAGAAACGCCATCAATATTTACATATTGGGCTAAGATTAAAGACCAATTATATATGCACATATTTCGCAGCAGATTGATCTACCCGGAAGTGCAAAGATCACAGAAAGGTACATGGAAGATTATCGGCCTTTCATTCTGAATGTTGTAGCAAGAATGTGAAGCCAGAGTTTCCGCGAATCAGCGGTGGAGGGTCAATATCAGGGACCTCTACTTCTTGCATTGATTTGGAGATATCATCCACAGAGAATGGAATGCTACATGGGAAACAAATAGAATCCAGTTTATAGCTGTAGAGAATGGTATAAAAGGCATGGGTTTTTTTTTTAAGAACCATACCTTGAGTCGTCATCTAATAAAAATGAACTGCTGACAGCATTGTTTGATTCTTCAGCCATCATAACTCTCATTCTTGCGATGACCTGATATTAAGATGGATTTGTTTTATAACCGTGTACAAACAAACTTGCAGTTTGAAAATTCCAGAAATTAATATATCTATATAAAACAGAAAGAGTAAGCCAGTCAAGATCAGCAGCATGTTGTCAAAAGTAGTGTAAAGATAATGAAGAAATGGACCAGTAAGTAGTGCATATAACTTACATCTGAAGATACAGTATGTGTGCCATATTTGTCATCCCAGTACATTGTACTGATCCTGTATAGTTGCTGTATGCTAAGCACCTGAGAAAGGAGTCATTTGAGAGACCACATGCAAACACCAGAAAAGGAAGAAAAGAGTTCAAGTGGTATAAGAAACACACCGGGCAAAGATCATTTGTTATTTCTTTCAGGGTCTTCTTTGGCTTTTGGTGTATGACCTGGTTTGGGAGAAAATTACAAAGGGAGATTGATAAACAGTATAGAACACAGCTTGGAAATGAAAAGACCAGAAGGGTAAACAAACCAGGAAGCCAACTGCTTGTCTAATATGTTTCAGTTCATCCCAAGCTGAGCCTGCAAACTGAATGTAGAACAGATATTCAACTTTAATCAGCCAAAAGACAGGCTAAATGAAATTTTTAGAATATTAATTGTATTGACACCACCTCCTCAGTTGCTTCATGGCACCACTGTTCCAGCTCTGCTAGCCCAGCTTTAACATACTCCCCATTGCTAAATGAACAACATTCACGCCGCAAAAGCAGACTGCAGAAACATATTTAAGTAACATGCAAATATTGGATGAACTGTAATATCACAGAAGTTAAGAAGAATGAACTTTTGTTTTAAGCACATCTACCTGTTAAACAGCTGAACATTAATAAATGAAAATGTCTGATTAAACAGTTGGCGAACTAAGAATGCAGGAACCTGCAGAGTCACGAAACAGAAGTTAATAGGGTTGATTTTGGGGTACAGTTATCCATTTGAGGTTACCGTATCTTGAACTCCACTCACATAGTTGGCCCTCAATGTCTTCAAGTAATTGTCTAGGCTTTTCACAATGCTCTGCCAGTGAGCAATTAAAGCTTGTTGAGCGACAGCATTAGCTTGAGAACGTCCCTTGACTAAACTTGCCCTAGAATTTCTGGGTGCCTGCACCATAATGGATAAAATGTGACTAGGGTGATAAAAAAAGAGCTACCACCAAGAGAACACCTCATTCATTTCAGAGTGAAACACCTATAAACATGAACCGAAGGAGCATGATACACACAGCACACCTGGGTCATCAGCTAGAGTTTTAAATAATGCAAAAATACTGGTACAAAAGCATCTGAATGGAGCAAATTCAAAGGCATACATCTTATTCTAATGAATGCTAAAAGTGGTAGGACAACATAGCATCACAGTAACCTGACCTGAATACACTGTCCAAGCACTGGAGCAATCTCTTTTTTCAAGTTGTCTCTTATTAGTCCATAAATCTTCTCCAGGAAGGCTGTCAGCTGCTGTTTAAAAAGCAAAGCTGGATATTTAGCTTCAACTTGCCGCGGGTCTTCAAATCCACCAAGCAACCGACCATTAAGGAATGAGAAACCAGCACCTGGTGAAGAACCTCTAAGCCCCTAAGTGATTTAAGTCACAAGATAAAAACTATCAGTAACAAGGAACTTCATTGAAGTATAAGGTAAGGCACATCTACAAAGTTATCTCATTTGGAATAAACAGTCTTTCTACTTGAGACATTCTTCCAAAAAGAGAGGCTGATGTTGCTCTGCGTCGCTGTGGAGTTAAGCTTGCTGCTCCACTTGCTTTCAGTGTATGTTGAAGTAGCAGCAGTAATGTGGATGAATTAGATAACCAATAGGATAAAACGTCGTTGTTATCCGGGACCTTGAGAATGACAATATTGTAAAACATGAGTAAGTAGAGTGTAGTGTAAATTGGAGACAAGAAGTTTTTGACTTAATTACTATTCATGAAACTCAACAGTATAAACAAGTCAAAATGCATTCAACCGATTTAACTCAATTGAGATAAGCTGAGTCAGTTGACTTCCATAATATATCATGAAATTGAAATACGAGGACTAAACCATGCCAGATATCTAGCTATACCTCTATTTCTGTGGTTATTGTTTGAATAAGTCGATCAAAAATACCAGTTCTTTCAAACTCAAATGATCTCCAATGGAGAAGGCATTTGTATATGAGACAAGCAGCAACTGGCTTGCCCCCAGAAAATCCTAAATCTTGTGAAATACACTTTATCAGCAAGTCCTGGTTCTCCTGCAACAGCAAAAGCATGGCCATAATGAAATACTGTAAATAAATTCAATATTATAAATATAAACACAAAATGTAACATCATATGCACATTAATCATTATTCACATCAATAAGAATAAATGTTTCTGCAGTGCACATTAATCAGCATGCATACGAATGACAATGAATGCCAATCATAATTTTCCAAAACTACTAACCTGCTGCTTCTCATTGAGAGATCTATGGGGCTTCTCTTCAGTCTCAGGCACCTGTGGGCTTGCTAGTGTTTTCTTTATTTCACCATTTAGGACACTTCCATTCTCAGGAGTTCTCTGCAGTTTCAAAATTCCTCTCAACTTATCTGTCCAAGAATGAACATATGGCAACTTTAATTAAATGACAAGTAATGCCAGTACCTGAATGATTGTTGTCTTAGGTCTTGCAGCTAAAGCTTTGCCAGTTGGTGAGATGGCAAGTGCTTGTTGACGGAGGACTTGATTCTCTGATTCCAAATTAGAAAGCTTCTCTTCAAGTCTGTGACACCGGATAAAGAAAAAAAATCACAAAAATCTTACACAAGATTTTTAGTGGTTGTGATTCATGCTTGTAAATTCTCATATCTAGTGATGTATCCTCCTCTAGTGTTCATAAGCCTTAGGAAGTCTCAAGTTAAAATGTGTGAAGCAAAGAATCAATAACATTCTAAATCTGTCCCCTATAACAAATGTTTCCTATCTAACAATGGCTGGCTGCTGAAGCTAATTTGTTATGCTTAATCTGTGAATTGAAAAAATTCCTTTTCAAAAGAAAGAGTTCACTGCTAGAAGCTGTCAGTAAAATTTTGGCACCAGAAGATTCACCATGATGTTTCAAGTCCCAACTTAAAGCTGAAATCATCAAGCTAGCTACCAAACAAATAAAGGTGAAAGGTGGAGACAAATGACGAGTATAAGAGAATAATGTTTTAGAAACATTTTTGAGAAGGGTCCTGGGATTTGGTTGTCCATCATGGTATTGGTAACAAACCTCTGCACAGAATCTTGAAGCTGGTGTGCTTTCTTCTCTGCATCTTCAAGCTTGTTAACCAGTTCACCATTTTTGGCCTGCACAAGAGTATAAGCTTGCTTTGCCTCCTCAGCTATCTGCTTTTCTGCTTGCAGCAAAGCCTGCAACATTCAGAATAATGTTCATGACATGCAGTCTCCATCACAACAATCAGTCGCTGTATCAAATAATTGACAACTAATGGTTGAAAGCATTCCAGGCAAACAAAACTTAATCTCATCTACTTCAGCTTCTGCCAAATCAAACAATTACACTTGCAAAGATATTCCCTCAAGCAGTGTAATTTCTCATTAATGTAATGAAATGCAGAATAAAAAATACATGACTAAGAAAAAATTTGCAGAGAAGTAATAATCTCCCTGACAAGCATGTATGCCTACCTTCAACTTTTCAACTTCAGATGTTAAGGAATTAATCGTTTCTGTATCTTTGACAATAACAGGGGTTTCTTTAATGACAGGAGGTGCTTCTTCAATGGCTTTTCGAGCTGCCTCTCTTTCTTTGATAACCATAGAATTAGCTTCTTCTACTTGTAATTGCATTGCTTGCAACAAATCTTGCAGTTTTGCAATCTCCTGGGCTTTTGACTCCTCAAGATCAGTCTTCATTCCCAGTCAAGGAAGAATAATATATGGTTATTAGAACACTCCATGTCCACATGCATATGAACTATAGAATAGAGTAAAACACCATAAATGCTGTGATAAACAAGTAAATAATCCATTACCCTTAATCGCTTTTCAAATTGCAAGCGCCATGTAAGTTCCTCCACCCGCTTCTCTAGCTTATCCTTTGCTTCTTTAAGAGCCCCTGTTTCTCTTGCAGCCTAAATAATTTTAAAGGAAAAATTCAAGATTTGTTTAGGCCACGTTCAGAAGTTATCTTTATATATTTGATTATGAGACCACATGTTCATTAGAGTATTTTCATAAAGTTACAAAAACAATTAAAGCAGTTACACAAACCATTTTGAGCTTCCTGAGCTCTCTTCTAGCAACTCTGCATCTCCAGCCACACTGTGTAACTATTATAGCTTTCTGAAGACTTTTGTAATACAAAGAAGCTTGGTAGCAACGCCAGTGAGCCTGCAGACAATCAGAAGATAATAAACAACACTTCACAGGTAAATTTTCTTAGCTTTCAGAGTGGAACTCAAGTTTAGAACTTTTTCTCTTTTTTGGCCAAAAGTTTGGAACTCAAAAGTTCACTTTTCCCATAGAATTAGCTGCACCATCCCCTTTCTGGACTTCAATATAGTGGGACCAATCAAGTTTCTGTTAAGGATACCTGGATGATTATGGCTGCTTTGGTTTGCTTCCTGAACCTAAATTCATTGCGTGCAGTCATTGCTCTTAATCCTGTTTGCAATTTGATTGCAGATGTCCTTAGTGTCAAATAAGACTTCCTCACAGTGTATCGGCGGAAATTCTTCTGGATCTTCAAAGCCCCCACTTGCCGCCTCAACTCTTCATATACTTTACGGGCCACATTGCCTAAAAAACAAGGGGCAGAAGATTAAACCTTCAGACCTGAGATCAACCGGCTAATAAAGAATCATAGAAATAAACAGGGTGAAATAACCCCACTACTCAAACAGCAAAAGAAGAGAGAAAAAGGAACTTCCTCAAAATCCACATTTTCTTGTTTATTGTAACTATGACCTGGGCCATCCATAAATGATTTAGTGGCATTAATGCATCAGGATGACTAGTTCACTACTTTCTAAAGAGATTCTTTCCATGATTCAAAATTTCTAATGTTGTCTACAATTACATTCATTTACATTAAAAAATCATTAGTATGGACAGATAAGATATTGCAAAAAAGAAAGAAAAGAGTAAAAATGCAACATGCAGACCAACTACAGCAGATAGTTTTCCACAAAGTCCAGAAGAAAACCTCGTAGGTAAGACTGCAACTTGATAGCAGCCTCGCGTACTGCAATGAACTCTTTGCGTGCAATATAGGTATGGACTTTTCGTTGAATGATCCTGGCTGCATTACCAAGTACCTCTGTTCTCCTGGCATCCAACTCTGCCATCTGTCCTGCTCTCAGGAAAACTTTTGTTTTCCCTATCTGCAAGCATGGATTAAGGGAAAAGGGAGGGAATCTATTATGTACAAGAACAGAGAATAACCTTGTCTTTAATAAAATGGATAGTCATTCAGAAAGTTAAGAAGATATCTTCCACTTGAGCTTTCTACATGTATTTCTAACTACACTTGCAATCCTACCATAAATCTGTAAAGGGAAGGAAAAAGTAGATGGCAAAAGAAACTACATGATACACTTACTACGTCCTTTCCCTAATAATTATTGTCTAAGATTTTCAACCATTTAATTCTCCTTCTGTGTCTACACTAAGTTGCAAATGTGCATTTTAAGCAGACATATCACCATACAGAATTTAGTCATGCAAATATCCAAGAAAGAAACTTGAATCAACAGTTAACAAAATATTAATGTACAATTGCAACTCCAATAACCAAATTTTCATTCACCTTTTGACTGAGGTTCTGGAAAAAATTGGTTTGCTCTACTAACTCTCCAATAAACATTTTTTACAAATTAACTGTTAATTCTGACCTTGTCAAACAAGCTCACTAGATTTATTCATTTTGGCCATCAATAGAGCACTAGATGCTGACAAAGAAGATGGAGAAAGAAAGCCTGATATATAGACAAATACTTATTTCCCATATGAAAGCAAATCAACAAACCTCTTCAATGGAATCAAAGAAATGAACAATAACAATAGATGGCAGCTATCAGCCATACCATTGAGTTTGATTTATGAAGTAGGAAAATATATATGAAAAAAAGAAAAAAAGAAATTCCAGATCACCTGGTGTCCTTTTAGTCCTCTTTTGTCGAGAATCATTTGACATGCAACTTTGTCATCATAACTACAAAGAAAGGAGAAAACCAGAGGAAGAAGTATCAGACATGGATCAATTAAAGCACCCATATGACAGAATGTTGTTTATATATCTTTCTTGAAACATCTAAAGAAATTTAGTGACCTCTGTGACTTACTTTCCTTCCAAAACTTCAGGAGCAAGTAGACCAAAACGGTTAAGGAAGTCATAAAAAGTTCGTCTAGTAGGATATCCAGCACAGCTTATCCTAATAGCTTCAAGAACACCCTGAAAGTAGAATAAACTGTAAAAGTTAGCTTATGATAGGTAGGGGCGACCTCAAAGGCCTATGAAACTTTACAGGAAGAACAAGAAAAAGTAATGTTGTGCATAAAAAATAAGTACTCACACCACAGCGTAATTGTTGGATGACATTAGAGTTCTCAAAGATAGAAGGTTTCAGGACATGATTCGGCTTTACACATCTGATGTAGTGAGGTTCTGTAGCACTCAAGGTCTCCAACAGGGCTTGAAGTTGTAGCTGCAATATAGATACAGATTTGATGGTTGTACAAATAAAGTAATCCCTCCAGTTTGACATCAATTAGTAAAGTCATCTTTCAAAATAATTGAAGGTTATGAACGGTCACTATGTCTAAGATTTGTGTGTTATTGTGTTGGTATATGTGTGGCTATCACCTCAAAGCATAATATGATGGAATAATTATTTTTGTTTTTACCTTAAAGCGTGATCCAATGGAAGAAAATTTTGATGACTTCGATGATTCTATGGGCAGTGGAGGAAAAACACTTGCCACAAAAGGGCACTCTGATGCAGTCAATAAAGCTTGATGTTCAGCCACAACATAGTCTTTGTTTTTGTCCAAAAACTGATTGGCTTGGTAAGGTACCTGCAAAATAGGAAAAGGAAATAGAAATTAACGAAATGACATGAACCTCCCCCTTGTGACAAAGAAAAGGCTTAAATAATGAAATAGGAAAATTTACCTCTCCTGCATAGTGTAAAATTGTAAAATCAGTACGGGAAAGCTTTGGTTTAATAAAACGCTTGTGATTTTTGAATGTCTGGTACAGCTTCTGTGCAAAAGTTTCATGGGTTGATTTTGGAAACATACTGCACCAGAAATCAGAAATGAATGAGCAGTGAGTCACAAGAAAGAAATATAATCCATAAACCAACAAATTCAAACTAATAAAATAGTTGAAAATTTCTGTACTTAATATTAAACAAAATATTAACAAAAGCAGCATACCAGGCTTCATCTAAAAGTGCAATTATTCCTCCAGGCTTCTGTGAATTGTCAAAGTAGAACAATATAACATGTCACAGAAAATTAAAAGTTTAATATGAATCACAAGTTAAGTATAAAATTCAATCACCATATAAATGGTCCTTGAAAGAAACAGGAAACAAAAAGCCTTCTAGTTGAAAGATAAAAACATATAACCCGATAAAAACCTTTTCTATTAAATCCAAAACATCTTGGTTATCAACAAACTCAATGTAGCTCCAGTTTATCTCTTCCTTGGTATATTCTTCCTGCTCCATTTTAAACACATGCTGGAAACGCACATTAAACAAACAACAATCAGTCTCTCTTTCTCCTATATCACAGTCAAATCAATTGTGGAAAACTAACCTGATTAAAATGTTGTTGCAGCTTTTCGTTTGTGAAATTGATACAGAACTGCTCAAAGCTGTATCATAAATCAGAAAGGTCCATTGTCATTTCATACAATTACTTTAAAAGTTTTTACGAATGTGCAAAGCTAAGGACATACCTGTTACACTTAAAGCTTTCAAAACCATAAATATCAAGAACTCCAATGATTGACTTTGAGTTTGCGTCCTGTCCAATCGAAATGTTAATTTTCTCTACAAGCCTGGAAACAATAACGTAAGCACATTAACACCTAAGACATAAAACAGCCTTAAGCAAAAATAAATAAATAAGTTAATAAAATAAAAATAAAAATCAGATAGGTAAAAAGGAAGAAGAACCATAATGAATGAACTTTTACCAGTCAAATAAGCGTGAATATATTGTCTTTGCCAAAGCATCTCTACCAGCACTTGCATTCTCAGGATCTAGAGTTCTTGTGATAACTTCTTCTGGTGTAACCATTACACGTTTAATTAGGGCATCTTCCAAGCTCTGGGCATTACACCTGGTGAAAGATTATGTTAAGCAGAGAAATATGAATATCTTTAATAGTCATCAATATTCCTCCCAAAATTGATAGTCATCAAAATATAATATATATATATATATATATCAAAATACACTTTCAATGAGTTAAGGTGAAAGGTATACACCTAAGAAGTTCTGCAGTCATATTAAGGTGAAATCTGGACTTCTCGTCCTTGATAACTGAGGAATCAATCTCTTTTCCCTTTGCAAAAGTAATATTCCCAAGATGAAGAATTGCAGCTACAACCCTGAAAATTGCCTCCTGAAATTTATCCACATTATCAAAGTTAATCTAAAATTGCAAAAAAAAAAAAAAAAAGGAAAGGTCAAGAAGCAACAGAAAGAAAGACCTGTTCCTGGTCACTGATTCCCACTATGTCCATAGCCCTTCTGGTTGCAAGATACTCATGAGCATCATTTACACCATCTAGCTCATAGCAATTAGATTGATTTAAATAATGAAAAGTTTTTGGACTCCCCAATTTATATCTTTCAATATCCTGCAAGTTTTTTTAAAAAATAATAATAATAAAAGAGTTGGAACATACAAGTGACAAACTTACAAGATCAAACTCACCCAAATAAAAGAAAACAAAAAGACACCAAGCAAAGACCATATAATTGCAAAGTACCTCAGGCGGTGCAGCACAAAGGAGGTAAAAGCAATGATAGTTTCTCTCGGGATCAGAAATTTGGCAAACACGAGACCTTTCAAGTAAATAAGTTCTGATTGCAGCTCCAGATATCCTTCCACTCTTGTCAAATTGGATTTCAACGAATTTACCAAAACGACTGCATTGTAATGTCATGGTTAACATGTAGAACCAGAAGTATAATGCATAAAACAATGTGCACAACTCAAATGCAATCAAAATAAACAAACCACTTGAGGAAACTTTTTAACAAGACTATAACAGATTAACAGGAGTGGTCAGATTGTTATAATTAACAAGTTCCACAACAAACTTCTACAGACCTTGAATTGTTGTTTCTAACTGTCTTAGCATTGCCAAATGCCTCTAGAACTGGATTGGACTGCAATATTCAACATTTGGAAAAAAAGAAAATTATTATTAACTTTACTTTCAAGAGAAGCAGAAAAAGTTAATGCTATAAATTTTAAATTTTTAAATGGCATAGATGAAAGAACCTGTTCTACTTACCTCCAGAACTTGCTGTTCAACAGTTCGTCCCTCTACTCCAGATCGCCCACCCAAGAATGCAAGATATCTCATGAGCATCTTTGTTGTCTCAGTTTTACCAGCACCACTCTCTCCACTAACCAGAATAGAATTGCTTTTTCCCTCATTCAACATTGCCCTATTCTTGTGCCACAGCACACAACATTAAGAACAACTCTCCAAGAGGAAAAAGATATCATGGAAGATTGATATGAGTTACGATATCACCTGTATGCTGCATCAGCAACAGCAAAAACATGAGGACTTAGCTCTCCAAATGCAGCTCCTTTATATTGTTCCATCATGTGAGAGTCATACAGATGGGGCAACCTTTGGAATGGATTGACTGCTATCAAGATATTGCCTGTGTATGTCTGAAAAGGTAAAAACATTAATATCACCAGAACTCAAATCTCTTAATTTAGTACTTGACGACCCTTCAACATTCTTAAAAGCCTAAAGACATGTAAGCAAAATGACTTACATAGATTTCATTAAGTTCATATCTGGTAGCCAGGTTTTGCAGAACTCCAGGTTCATGCAAATAAGAGAGCTTTGTCATGTCATCTACACCCCCTGGTGGAGCTTCGGTATCCTTTGGGAAAGTTTTTGACATATTTGCAACAACCTGCATACAGCAATCCCACCAATTAGACTCATAAATCACAATATTGCACCATAAAACTGGAGGACCTGTCTGGAAGAAAAACCATGAGGATTGCAAAAAACTATCAATCAGGTCAGCCATGATAAAGAGTCTAGTCAATGAATACTGTCAAAAAAAAAAAAAAGGGGGTATCAATTTAAGCTGATAAGTTATCAAATTATTAAAATAGTTAAGAAGTTCACATCAAGTAGACCTCGTGGTCTAGAATCCAAATTCATGATTAAACATCGAAAAAAGCTTCCTCTCAGAGCAAGTCTGCATTTCAAAATAGCTATACCAAACTCACTCCTTTTTCATTTGGATGCAAGAAGTAAGCATGCGCAAACTTTTGGAGTTAGATCCTAGATGTTATAGAGGGAGAATACAAAGGCCTTTCTTCTTGAGTTTGATCAGTTAACCTTAACCCCTCTAAAGTTCGTAAGTATCTTCCTAGCATTACTTTTTAATCCAATATGTCTAACTCCATTGTAATTATAATGGTGCTGCTTCAAGCTTTACTTCTTGTAATTATACACAATTTTTGCTTTCAGAGCACACAAGTAATCTAAAGTTACTAATTAAAGTAAATTGGTAAACTATCCGTCTGCTAAAACCACCCCAAATGTTAGCCATCCAAATAAGGCAGCTCTAAAGGGATTAGCTAAGCTGTAAATGATCCTACATTATTAGCATTTTGGCGTATTCAGTTGCATATAAATAAGAGACAAAAGTAAAGTGTTTGATAGTTAACAAATTAATTCAAAAGTTTTATCACCCTTTGTTTCATTGTTTATCGTTAATGCCTCTGAAAAATCACATTTTCAACTATAAGCAATTAAATCTGATGCAACAGAAGTCAATTCAGCATTAATACAAAGGAAAAAGAGGACCACATATAAAGGAGAACTCACAGTTTTTCCATTTGTGGTTTTAACATGAACCTCATTGCCACTGATTCGAAAAACTTCTCCATCAATCCATGCCACTTCAGGATCTTCAACCCATACATGAGAACCTATAATTATGTTATCTGGGGCAGCCTACAAATGAAATGTGAATAATTAAGCATCAAATGGTAAATTATTTTGTTATCTAATTTAACAAGTAAAAATTTCCATGGTTTGAACTCTAGGTAATCATTAAAAAAAAAAGAAAAAAGTATCAACGCTAAATCTTAGGATATAAAAGAGACTGAAAAACCTAATTAGAGTCATCTAACAATAAAGAAGGCAACCAAATAACAATTTGTTATTATGGCTAAGCGTTTCCTAATGAAATGAATGTATATCCAACAAGATGCCTCACTATAAGGCAGAAACAAGTCCAACAAGCAAAACCCTACTAGGGAAAATATATCCTAAATGAAATTCCTCTTCAGCAAGAGAACACTTCCTGGCGGTTATCAGCCCGTTATCAGATGCCTGGGGCATTCTTTGTAATATTAGTTACCTCCCTAACATGAAACATAAAAACTAACAGTCAACAGAACACCACCCTTTCCTCCTATAAGAAAAGCCAATGTCATTGACAGATTTTACCTGAATTGAATGCTATTCCAATCAAAACTACCACTCACATACCTAAGAATTCAGTGAACATAATAAACTTGCAAGGCAAAATAAAACGAAGTACAAGCAATTGCCTAGATAAATTTTCAAGCAAAACAAGGTCAAACCATAAAAATTGAGCTAAATTTGGTTATCTAAACAACATGTTGTAATTTCCATGAATGCAATTGAACCCCAAGAACTTCAACAAGCAGAAAGCCGGAAACTAAAGAACACACAGATGACAAAAATATATATATATATATATATATATACACAAATAACATCAAAGCCTGCTGTATATTACCATTGGAAACGCCAAAGAAGATCCCTGATCTTCACCTCATGCAAATACAAAACAACTGATTGTTTGTTTCGACCCAATACTATCAATCCCCCAAATCGAATAAACAATTCAATCCCACCACCAAAACTAACTTCAAATTCAAAACAGAACCCAACAACCACCCCCTCTTTCCTTCCTTCCTTCCTTCCTTCCTTCCTTCCTTCCCTCCCTCTTTCTCTCTCTAAACAGAACTTATATACTATAATATCTCTCTCTAAACTTGGGTCTCTAAAAGTTTTTTTGAATTTTCTCTCTCTTAAAAAGCCATTGTTAAGCTTTTCGGAGGTATTTTTTGTCTCTCTTTCTTCTCTCCGAGTTTTTTAGCTTTTGGTTGACGTTGTCTTGACTTGAATAGCAGCGGAGGATGGCAAGGCAAGGGTGGCATTTGTGGGTGGGGGGGACGAAACGGTGGGGCCCGCATTGAGATGTCTTTTGAGCGCCACCCTTTTTCACTCTCCGCCCCCGCCATTGAGGAGTCAACGTGGAGATGTTTAATTCTTCCGTTATGTGTCTCGATTGGACAAGCTTTTCGGTCTTAATTACTTGATTGCCATTTTCGTTTTAGATTTGGAAATTTTAAATCTAGTCCATTTGGAAAAATATATATATATCAAAAGTAAAACACTAGCTTAATAAGGTATATTAATTCCACTTAAACTAAAGCTAGAATTCAAAACACCCTATCCTCATACCTCAGTCTAATAATTAAAACCCTTAATTAAATGATAATTATTTCTTGTGAATTATATATTTAAGTCTTATTAATGATATTTTTTCCTTATCCATATTACCCAAACCAATTGTCATGTTAATTATACATACTAATTCGCAAGCTTATCTTAATATTTATAATCATATGATAAATGAATTATTTTAATACTATAAATTTAGCCATATTTCAAAAGGAAAAATTTCCTTCAATGCATGCCTTAAAACTTTTCCTCTGCTTTTAGTGAATAATCTAAAATTTGTCCAGTAAGATTGCATTGACCAAAGTTCTAGTTAGTGTATTAAAGTTAACTTTTTTTTTTTTTTTACATTTTTGTCATGGTATCGGCTTGAACCGTTACCCTAAAAATAAGATATGAACCTTACAAACGTAATTAGAGCCACTTGACTCGAAGGGTCAGGTTCAAAGTTAACTTATTTAGAATGGTCATAGAGTAAAAAAATATCTAATATATGGGTGTAATTCAAATGATCACATACTTCTTTTAAAAAATAAGTGATGACATCTTTAGCAAAGTAACATTTAAGTTTTAAGTTTGATATTTTCTAATAATATTATCAATATAATTTGTCATGTTCTGTATATATATATATATATATATATCCTTTAAATCTCATTTTTGTAAAAAAAAAAAAAAAGAGCTAACTCCCTCCCTTATATCTT